GCAGACAATGCATCTTCAATGTTTTTTTCACACACTTGGACCGGTAGTTGAGTACGGTATGTTGCAGGGGGATATGGTGGCTTCACCAGGGCTTACCAGTTCACATAGCGCACCGGAGTGGTTATATTGACAGAATATACAGAAGAGTTGCGAAGACCAGAAACGTCCGGTACCGTTTCTGTGTCACACTGACGATAGCCCGCAGGTGTTGTTAGAGCCGACAACATCTGACAACGGGGACCGGCGCTGACACACGGCGGCATGTCATATGACACACCGGACTAACACAGGGCTGGTGCCGGCTTTCGCCGCACGCGATGGAGGCTAACATTTCTGTTGCTGCTCAAGTGCATTGCATTGCAAAGTGCATTGCAAGCGCCAGTGTCGATCCTGTACCGTCGGCTCTGGTTAAGTACTGCCCGCCGCGACCGTCGCATCAAAACTTTGGCCGGCCTGTAACGCGCAGACTTTATTCGATATGGGGGTGCGTTCGTCGTCACGACGTGGCCCTTGCGCTCAGCACCGATCTGCCGCCGGCTGCGTGCGGCGGCCGCCAAGCCCATTAATTTGCGCACAACAGTGGTGTTGCCGAAATGGAGACCAGGCACGGCTGGTCGTGTGGACCGCACCACCGCAGCTGCAAGGCAGACCGGCCCGGCCACCGACGAACAGCCGGCCCCATCAAAGGCCAGTACAGCTGCTAGAGCTACAGCACCAAAAGCTCTTTCATGACCAAGAGAAACCGTGGTCAAAGGCTTTCGAGGCCATTGAGGCTACAACAACAGCGCGGGATCTTGAGGATTTTGACATATTGGCTATGACGGGAGACGGCGGTGCTAACCATAACTTGGGCATATTTTCGTAGGCAGTTAACTAACTAGCCTGGTTAGCCTACCCATTGCGTACCCCAACCACTGCGACATGGAATTCACCCGTTTCCGTGCACATGGATATCTTTGTTTCTCCCGTTGCAATGACACTCAATCCGCCATTCATACTTTGCTCAACGCGTTAGTTAGTAGCCATATGACATCATATGGAGTGTTCCACATTTGTATGAGGTTTTGAACGGAACCAGCCATCTTGAAAACCTTTCAGTGCAGTTCACAGCCCCGCCCATCTTAAAGCCTAAACCCCCTCTAGTGTCTGAGCTGTACGCCCGGGAAAATGAGCAGGCTATTTCGTGCAGATTATTTCAAGGTCACCCAGGCACCCATGACACAATAATCGCTTCATCCACATTTCGTCAAGATATTGGCTATGTGGCGATCACGGCCAGGAAAAATATAACTGTCGAGTCGTTCATAGCTGGCGTTGTACGATGACATCAAATAACAACGTATTGAGGAGCATATTTACTAAATAGAGAGAACTGGTGTTCTAGACAGTCTTTTCCACCTTAAAGTGTACCAATAGTTATAAGCGAGCTTTTTTCATCATGGGCGATGCTTGCTTCAAAATTTTCACATGTGTATTTTTACATTTCCTTTACATTACATTTCTTACATACATTTATTCATACATCTTCATTTCTTTAACACGGGCGCGCGTTCTGTCATGTCAAAATTAAACAAGTATCGGGACGGTTAATATTTCATTGCAGCGCTCACATCAACATGATGATGGATTCGCACACCCTTAGCCTTGCCCATACGTCTAAGCCACCCCCGACCGGCGATCATAACAGACTGCGTCCAAATAGCACACCGCCGTATCCGGCACGCCACAGCAGGGCCTAATTTCAGGCAGTGAATTAGTTGCGCGCTTCTGATCGACGTCACGGCGGAATGCGCCCCGCCATCATTTTGATTTTACTGGCACTTAAGTTCAAGAAGGGCTACCGATTGAAGGAATGATATGGGCCGCGCTCACTCCATCACGTTCATACGGCCACGGCAGTCCCATGCAAAACTCGATCTGCATCACGCGTAGCCGTGATAAACGTCACCAACGAAATGCATGCCTTTTCCAGCCCGCATTCGCACGCGGCGCCAATAAAAGCACGCGCAGGCCAGCCATCCCGATTTTTGAAACCTGTACAAAGTGTGCCGCGCGGGCCCGCGTGTTGACCTTTGATCCGTCTCAACCACGCGCCAGCAGCACGCAACATTCGGCTTTCAGCCGGCACATGAGTGAATAACGGGCTCCTATGCGGTCGCCCTCCCAGGATCGACCGGCGGACGGCTTTTGGCTGCGGCCTTTGCATCGCGCCGCGTCACGCCGCGAGCCCGACAGGCGGCGGCGCCGGCCCGTCACGGTCACGTCACGGCAACGGTGAAACCCAGCCGTTGCCGAATGGCTGTTGCCACTGGGCCGTCGTCAGGGTCCGGTCAACGTGGCAAGTGCTCCGTCACTTCCCCCGTGCGATTACTGTTGTGAGGCTGTGCCCCTAGCAGACACGGTGCAATAGCGTCAGAGTTGCGCGGAAGATGGCGAGGGCGCCGCAGAAGCAGGGGCTCCGCTCAGGGCTGGGGTGGTAACCTGTGTTCGAGGAGCCGTCTAACCCTGTCAGACTGAAACGCGCGGGAAAATTATTGATGTTACTTCTGTACGTGATCAGATGCGTCTTTCAGACGAAAGACGGATACAGATCGATTTGAACATATCAATTACAACTCTATGTGACTTTTGCCCCCCCCCCCCCCCACCGTTACACGATTTTGCCTTGGCTGGGGGCTGGAGACTTTACTGCAAGTGGGGCGGGGGTTATCTATCCCCCCCCCCCCCAGCCAACATGTTAAAGGAGGCCTATCATGTCCAGGAAGAGGTTTTCACGGCAGCGGAGGTTATAGGAAGTTTTTTCGAACTTACCTTCTAAATCATTGTACGAGCATCACACTGTAATTCCCTTAGTTGCAGTTTAACCACTTGCTCACAAAGTGTTAACATCTTGAGACTCTCCCACGCCACGAGTGATGACTTTGTTAGAATTACGTAAATGGCATTTCAATTTCAAGAGCCTGACAGATGCGTTTTCATAGAATATCTCAGTGACTGCTGCCACATTTTCTCGATGCATCATATCAAACGACATGCTATCACAATTTTATAGTATGCAGCGGGGCCTTACCACCCGAGGCCGCGCCAGATTGCACACTCGTAATAAACAAACTATTTACAGCAATACTTTTGGCCCTGCACAACCTAGTTTGACATGCCTCACGTACATTGACAGATATCTGATACAGCTTGACAGGCAGCATCCAGTGTCATGTGTCTCATTGACGGGTCTACTACGCTGAGACACGCATTGATGTGTTGCTATCAGTGTGTGACCAGGCGTTCCACGGTCTACACAATAACGCTTTCATCTCTGCCACAGCGTCCTAACGCAGAGTTTCGGAGATAAAAAGGCCTAAGCTTGCGATTGCTCTAACGTTGAAACTGTTTGGTCTATCAAAGGCCACTTACAGCGAAGTTTAACGACACCAACCGGCCCGCAGTTTTCCGCGAACACTCCGGTCGCGCACTCTGCCGGGCTTTAGCATGTAAAGTGTTTGAGATGGGAGGGAAGGGTGCTGAGCGAATCCCTCGTCTGCAGACGCCGAGAAAGGAGTTCACCTGACAGAGGCTAACTCGCGACGGTGATGATCCCCACGGCGCGCAAGAGCCATCTGACAGAGGCTAACTCACGACGGTGATGATCCCCACGGCGCGCAAGGGCCACCTGATAGAGGCTAGCTCACGACGGTGATGATCCCCACGGCGCGCAAGAGCCACCTGACAGAGGCTAACTCACGACGGTGATGATCCCAACGCAAGAGCCCACCTGGCAGAGGTTAGCTCACGACGGTGACGATCCCAACGCAAGAGCCCACCTGGCAGAGGCTAACTCACGACGGTGATGATCCCAACGCAAGAGCCCACCTGGCAGAGGCTAACTCACGACGGTGATGATCCCCACGGCGCACCGAGTACAGCCGCTACCGCTCCATAGACGAGGGCTTGACAGCGTGTGTTGCGTTCCCTCAAAAAACCTCACGCGGTAACCCGAGAGATCCTGTCCTGCGCTAAAACTGGCCGACAGACGGTGCGGAAACGCGGCTTATGTTCTGTTCCAAGAAAAACGGTCGGGTCCTTTGACCGCACGGAGCAGGGGCGTGACTGCAGCGTGCGTGAAAAGGCAAGCTAAATCGATAGACTCACGCGTGCTGGTGGTGATCACCCCATGGCCGATTCTGCTGCTTGCGAGTTGTTGACAGTAGTTGGAATTTATAGCGGGTCATTGGTTACTTTCTCTAGCAAAAAAAAAAAAAAAATACAACTGCCGTATTGACCGAAGCTTTGACTTTCATCGTCTGCACATGGCAACACTGGCCGATTTCCTAGGACATACCGTGTTTTACGAGCACTGTCACGGACCTCTGATGACATGCACAAGCGCAAACACCTCGATTTTGTGCCTTTATTGAATCTGTTACCACTTGGTACAACTCGTGTTATGCTCAACATTTAACAATTTCAGACGAACTTCTCTGACGCCATTAATGGTCCGCAGTTTACACACCACCCTCTTGAATGCTGTGTCTGCTGCAATCGCTGTCCCTAACGCCAAATAGCCCAACACTTCGCTACGAAGCAATAAATCCCAATTGCCACGGTGACGAGGCGGCTTTGCTGATGTTTGGTGAAGCGACAGCATTCCGGCAGCGGAATCCGGGGATTCGCGCCTTCACCGTTGACAGCCATGGAATGTAACGCGCTGTAGCGACTCATGCGATTAAGTCGTCGCCTTTCAGACGGTTGCAGTCGCACTATCGGCGTTGGTGTTAATGGAACTAACAATTTTGTCTCAGGCATCGCCTTGTATAGATCATATAAATCATATATTGCCACAAAGACTGTGGCTCAATTCCAGCGGATCTCCCGAGCCATCCATACCCGCCCTTTCTTGCCACCTTCACTGCCTCTCCTCCGGAAGTCGGACCGGCAAAGGCCGCGAACATCAACCCTAGGGCCGTTCCCTCTGCAGGCACTGGGTGCCTGCGTGCGCCAGCCGCCTACGTCCAGGACTTGATGATAGCCAGCAGGCACTTCTTGTACTCTCCGGAGGTGTCGTCAGCCACTGCCGCCGCCAGGCTCTTGCCATAGCGCAGCTGATACGCCTCCTTGATGTTCTCCAGGTCGATCTCCGAGCGGGTGACCAGGATGCGGATGAGGGTGCTGTCGTCCGTTCCCAACCCTCGCATGGCCCGGTACAGCTTCTCGGCGAAGTAGCTGGGCTGGTCGGTGATGCACTGGGCCATGGTAAGTAACCCCGCCTTCATGTCGCCACCGAACTCGGAGCGGATCGCCTTCTCGATGCTGCTGCCGCGCGCGCTCACCTCCGGGTACACCGCGAACACCTTGCGCAGTAGCGCGTAGTCGGTGGTGCAGAAGATGCGGACGAACACGTCGGCATCCTTGCCGCGGCGCGCCTCGCCCGCGGCGTACAGCTCCTCCGCCAGCTCACGTGCCCGGTTGTCGCCGACCACGGCGTCCTGCTGCCGCTCCAGCTGCGTCAGGCCCAGGAACAGGCGCAGGAAGTCGCCGCTCAGCTCGCTACGCAGCGCCGCCTCCAGCGACCGGCCGTGCAGCCGGTGGTAGGTCTTCACCACGTCCTGGATCTCGGCTTGCGTGCGGCCGCAGAACAGCTCGATCAGCGCCTTCTCGTTGGTGCCGAGCCCCTTCATGGCGCGGTGAGCCCAGTCAGCCAGGTACTGGTTCTGCCACTGTAGCAGCGCCAGTAGCGTCTCGCGCAGGCTAAAGTTGCTCTCACTCTGCACCGCGTCCAGCAGGCACCCGCCGTACTGCGCGTTGTACACGTCGCTCAGGTATTTGCGCTCCTCCAGCGTGTACTTGGTCAGGATGCCGATGACAGTGGCCATGTCGACAGGCTTGCGCAGCGCGCGGCGCAGCTTCTTGGCCTGGCTCGTCGCCTCCTCTTCGTCGAAGTTCTTGTGCGGTTTGATGGTGCCGCGCGGTGCGCTGATAACCGGCCGCGCCTGCGCGTGGCCCTTCACCTTGCGCTTGCCGCCGCGAGCCGGCATCTCCTGCATCGACATGCGCGCCGACCACCGGCCGCCGTGCACCGTCCGTGCACCCGCCCCCGCACCCACCCGTCGAGCACCCGCGGCCGCCGGTCGGCGAGGGACTGACCAGTCCCGCCGAAATCAATGTCGACCCGGAGCCCCCCCCCCCCCCCCCTCACCACCGGCGGCCTGGGTCGGCCGTCAACACTGTCATGGTGATGCAGCGGGCCCGCCCAGACCGACAGGCAGGCATACACAGGACAGAGGGCCGACCACACGGTCCCGCTCAATGTCACATCGCCTCACACACAACGTGGCCGACGGAACTGCGTCGGAGGGGAAGGGGGAGGGGCTTCGATGCCACACCGCCTCGCACACAATGTGGTCGACGGAGCTACGTCGGAGGGGAAGGGGGAGGGGCTTCGATGCCACACCGCTGTGGGGCAGCCGTTAAGAAATCACGAAGCGCGAGTCGTGAGTGTGCTTACGGAAGGTGCGGTCTGCCCACATCAGGCACACAACGCATCAGACCATTGGAGCGTGGGACTGTTTGCGTCGCTCTTTTGTGTTAACGGCCTATTCATGCAATTTGATGACGGCATTTCAAGGCAAAGTTGTGCATTTTAAGCAGCTTGTCGTTGTTTTACGTCGAAATCGCTGGCGACGGAGGCTATGGGAGCGATCTCAAAAATTATTTTAAAAAATACTTGCGCTTCCATGTTTACTTTGCTTGGAGTTAAAATGGGACCAAATCTAACGTAAACATATGTTAGGAATCAGGATATTATTGGAGTGTAGGGTAGGATGAAGGGTAGGGTAGAGTGTAGTGTATCAGGTCTTACAATAAGCTCTCTCACACCATAATTACTAATGACAGGACAAAGATGCATACATCTGCAGACAGCTATAATCTTCAAGTACGTATGCGGTGGTAAGATCTTGGACGGCACGTTTTTTTTGTAAATGACCTTTGAATTAGGACCTTAAACACCTGCCCATCTTTCAGGTAAATTGTATCACATGGTGGGGAGGTTGAATTTTGTTTTGCATTGAGGCAGCTGCATCACAAGCAGGTTGAATGCGCTCCGATATTCAAACAACACGTGCTTGTCACCGCTATTTTGTAATTCTTCGTGATTACGACGTGACACATATCGACTATTTTTAATCAGTTGTGGTTTTATTTTACATCCACTGCCAGCTAGGTTTCGGCTGCTAGGGTACGAATTGTAAGCCTACAGTGGTACTGGAGATGATGTTATATGGTCTGGATGATGATAAGTCATGACAGTCACGTCGGTCAAACATTGACAGATTAGTTAATGCCATCATAGTCGGTATACTCATCACTAATGCAGCATGCCCAAACACAGCTTGCGCAACATGAATCGCCCGACATTTTGAAAGGAAGTTCGCACCACTCCGAAATTTTTGGCAAGCAGACGCCGAATGCCTTGCGGCATATGCGGTACATGTACTTCCCACTTCCCACCACTCAGTATAACACTTACACCATTCTGATTATGCCCTAACACTGTAAACGCACATTTCCAACGATCGCTTGACTGTTCAGCGACGTGCAAAAAGGCATGTTTGTCGCGCCCACCCGAAGACACATGCACGTATGTAGCCGGGATATCCTTCGCCAGCTGATCGACTGTGGACCGGCGTCTGTCGCATATATATTTAGTGTAAATCGCGCTGACACTACTCGGACATGATACAACTCTCCCCACTCTCCCCAAATGTTTTTCGTTTAAAATCAATATCAAATGCCTAATTGGCATAGCTGGAAGCGTATCATTTATGTCTGGTTTTCTGGCTCGCCTGAAATGGTACGCATTAGTACCATATCAAACCGAGAGGCATGTCACTTTTCCTGGCTCAACACCGTATTTTCTGTCCTGACGTCATAACACTATTAAGTTTTTATGCTGCAAGCAACCAATTTTCAGCAGACTGGGAGGCATTGGTTTAACTTAAGTATCGAATAATCATTAGGATGTATCATGAACACGAACAATGTACATCATCACGGGTGAGAAGCAGGTTTAGCAAAACACAGGATTCAAAAACTCAAATTCCGCAAACGACACGGTGTGTTTCAAGCCTGTAGATGCTCTGTCAATAAATATACCGCAATAACAAGTCATTTAAGTTCCCGCACCCTAATATCGGGTACATCCCGCCATGCTGAGGGCTGCCCGGTCCGGCGCGAGCAGCTGAGCCGAAAGGTCCAGGGGACTCGCAGCAAGTATCAGGTCGGGGACACATCTACCCAGAAGATGAGCGGTTCTCAGATCCTTCGGGCTCCACTACTCTGACGCCAATGCACGGCAGCGAGCTGCTCGAAAAATGGACAGCTGAAATTACTGCAGTGAAAACAAAACATGCATGCTTCGAGTGTATTTTAGCGTCTCTTTGGAAAAAAAGTTTATGAAGAGTTCACTCGTCGCTGTTTTTAACAATAATGGACTGTAACAAGTTGTTTTGTAGCCTCATGCTCAGCATGGGTCAACAGAACATTTTGCTTATCTTTGAGTGTTCCAGGCAGGCCTTGGTACGATGCTCTATACCAGAGCCAGAAGGACTGCAGTGGTAATCGTGGTGGGTTTATTTTTAATCTTATACACGGCACGGGTCATTTCGAATTGCCGTCTGTGTTTGAGCAGTCCTCAGCACACAGTACGGTATGAATGTTGTATGGTGTGTGTGTGTGGTGTGTGTGTGTGTGTGTGTGTGTGTGTGTGTGTGTGTGTGTGTGTGTGTGTGTGTGTGTGTGTGTGGTGTGTGTGTGTGTGGTGTGTTGTGTGTTGGTGTGTGTGTGTGTGTGTGTGTGTGTGTGTGTGGGTGTGTGTGTGTGTGTGTGTGTGTGTGTGTGTGTGTGTGTGTGGTGGTGTGTGTTGTGTGTGTGTGTGTGTGTGTGGTGTGTGTGTGTAATCAAATGGACATGTTTAAATGTGTTATGTGTCAGGATTTGTAAGATGTGTGATTTATTGCGGACATCCTTAACTTGGCAGAATCTGCATATTTTTGTACATATTTGTCTGTCACGCGCTTTGAATGTATTAGGGGTAATTTTGCTTAATATTGTTCACTTGCCATCATGTGCAGCAACCACTGAGACGAAAACCTTCCTCATAATAAGTCCCAATGATCACTACACATTGTCGTTAAAGATGTTCTTCCAAACACATCGAAAGCTCCCACTTTCCACGACAAGCACACGTAGTGCCGAAACAACCAGGTGCTTAAAACTTTTCTTGATTATTTTATGTATGTTGTGTAGGTAATTGCAAGCACCGTCTGCGTCTGATCTTACCATTGCTAGCAGACTGCCAAATGGTGTGCGTTCTCCTCGCTGCATGAACGCGATTCGTGGTTTGAAGTAACTGTTACGATGCATCGAAATTTGAGCAGACTGACATTTTGACATTGCCGAGACATGTTTGCACCCCATAGCCGATATCAAGTTGGTATGAACTGCTCCAGCTTCTTCCATAAGACTCGCGCACTCCCTTGAACACTCCTCTAGCGAATGGAACCCATGACCCACATACCGCGAGTGAGCGGGTCGGGGTTTCAGCAAAGAAACAAATACTCGCTGTTCATATCGTTCTTCTACCATAAACCAACCACTGCACGACACGAACTAAGCAATACCGTACCAAAGCCGTCCACACATACCGCCGTCGCGCCACATTCATTTCAGCGCGCAATTTTGAGCTCTCGTGTTCCAAGCACAAATGCTTGCACCTTTCCGCTCCTTCTCCGCCTTGTTTGAAAATTTCCCAAACGTTCCCGCTCACATAACACTACGATCACCCACGCGTCAACTCGATCCGGACTTAAGAACACCTGCGGCTCGCGTCACACAGCCTGCTGCAGGGGGGCAGCCTGAGCCGGGTGGCACCCGACGCCGCCGCAGGAGCTGCGTCCCCGGTCCCGCCGACTGGCCGTCGGTCAGAGCTCTTCGAGGTCCGAGGACGTGCCGCGCTGAGCCCCAGCCGGACGCCTGTCATGTGACGCGGCAGGCCGCTAGACCATCATAACGGGGCTCCTACAGAGCTATGTTTGTTAACTAGCGCTCATTCACGTTATTTGTTTGTTTAGGTGTTGTTTGCTGATGTGGACTGAGGAGTGCTGTAAGAGCGGGAACACTGTCTAGCGAGTGTCATCCACACGCAGTGTCCTAGAATTGCAGACTTTGGGTGTAAAGCGACATCCTAGGAGACGGAATTTTTCACTCATTTTCATCGCATTTTTGTGAATTTTTCACTCCTGGCTGATATTGTCCAACACTTCACACCTGCCCGTAACTCCCTTTCAGAGGTTTTAGTACGTCATCCAAGTCCGAGCTCATTTGAAACCGCCAAGCATAAGCAAGACCACACAGAACCTGCACACCAATGGCTGTATCCCGCCTCACCTACATATGAACCATGCCTATGCGCGCGCAGAGAAATAGCACTAGATACCTCTAAGCCCGAGAGCCCCAGCGCCTCCAGCCGCTTGCATGCAACAATTTTGGCTTGCTTACAAAATACATCACAACCTACAGTTGTGTGCCAAATGCAAGGTTGTCACGCATCCCCAAGTTTTTGGTTCGCACCACGCAAACAACTCACCAGCAAAGCAAAGCCTGGTAGAGAATTTATTAATCCTACCAATTATTTATTTTGTTCGTTGTGTTTTTCTTGGTCTTACACAGATATAATACAAATTCATTTTTCTCCCTTTTTGATAGTTTTTAAAGATATCGCCTATAGCCTAAAATGTTTACCAATTTCTCTGGAAAACGTTCCAACTGCAAACTTACACATAGCGTTTCCATACACTGGGTTAATTCGCCAGCTGCCCAAGCATGTTTGATATGTACTAAAGAGTGAGCAATGCATAGGGACCGAAGGAGGCAATTTGAAGCAAGGAAACTATTTTTACCGTCATTTTTGCCTCTTTAAACCCCTGGATAACCATTTTTAGGGTCATGGCGTGGCTTAACAGTGATAACTTGAAGCTATTCCAGTTTTACT